CACAGGTACCCCCCACCCCCTTGCATTAAAAGGTTGTGTTCATTTAAGCAGAGCTGTGTCTTTTACAACTGCTTGATGTTCAACCTTAATTGGTGTCTAGCTGCATCACCTGCCTACTGGCTTCTTAGGAACTCCAGTAACATGACCTCCATGTCATAGTTCCTACATCAATTCCCACCTGCCCTAACGTTTTGGGTATTCCCGTTCCTGCTGCAACCTAAAGAAGTCTATGGGGATCTACTGCTCAGGGGAGGCTGGGGCCATTAAATCAAGGTATCTATGCACCTGAGATAGGTCCATATCTTGAGGTGAGCATACACGGTGACAGGTGGTAAGACATGTGGAGGCACATTGAATTTCCTGCACTTGTTTTGCACAGATATTTGTTGTGGTTTATAACATGCATGTTGGACTGTTTTAAGTGTTTGTGAATATTGGGACACATATTTAAGAGGAATTCGGTATATACAGGTGAATCTCGAAAAATTTGAATATCGTGCAAAAGTTCATTTATTTCAGCAATGCAACTTAAAAGATGAAATATATGAGATAGACTCATTACATGCAAAGCAAGATAGTTCAAGCCGTGATTTGTCATAATTGTGATGATTATGGCTTACAGCTCATGAAAACCCCAAATCCACAATCTCAGAAAATTAGAATATTACATGCAATCAATAAAACAAGGATTGTACATAGAACAATATCGGACCTCTGAAAAGTATAAGCATGCATATGTACTCAGTACTTGGTTTGGGCCCCTTTTGCAACAATTACTGCCTCAATGCGGCGTGGCATGGAAGCTATCAGCCTGTGGCACTGCTGAGGTGTTATGGAAGACCAGGATGCTTCAATAGCGGCCTTCAACTCTTCTGCATTGTTCGGTCTCATGTCTCTGATCTTTCTCTTGGCAATGCCCCATAGATTCTCTATGGGGTTCAGGTCAGGCGAGTTTGCTGGCCAATCAAGCACAGTAATCCCACGGTCATTGAACCAGGTTTTGGTGCTTTTGGCAGTGTAGGAAGGTGCCAAGTCCTGCTGGAAAATGAAGTCAGCATCCCCATAAAGCTCATCTGCGGAAGGAAGCATGAAGTGCTCCAAAATCACCTGGTAGACGGCTGCGTTGACCCTGGACTTAATGAAGCACAGTTGACCAACACCTGCAGATGACATGGCTCCCCAAATCAACACGGACTGAGGAAATTTCACACTGGACTTCAAGCATCTTGCAGTGTGTGCCTCTCCATTCTTCCTCCATACTCTGGGTCCTTGGTTTCCAAATGAGATGCAAAAGTTGCTCTCATCAGAAAAGAGGACTTTGGACCACTGAGCAACAGACCAGGTCTGTTTTTCTTTAGCCCAGGTAAGACGCTTCTGACGTTGTTTGTTTGTTGTTCAGGGAGCAGCTTGAAAAGAGGAATACGACATTTGAAGCCCATGTCTAGGATATGTCTGTGTGTGGTCGCTCTTGATGCACTGACTCCAGCCTCAGTCCACTCCTTGTGAAAGTCCCCAACACTTTTGAATGGCCTTTTCCTGAAAATCCTCTCCAGGCTGCGGTCATCTCTGCTGCTTGTGCACCTCTTTCTTCCACACTTTTCCCTTCCACAAAACTTTCTATTAATGTGCTTTGATACAGCACTTTGGGAACATCCAACTTCATTTGCAATTACCTTTTGAGGCTTTCCCTGCTTATGGAGGGTGTCAATGATGGTTTTCTGCACAACTGTCAGGTCAGCAGTTTTTCCCATGATTGTGATTCCTACTGAACCAGACTGAGAGACCATTTAAAGGCTCAGGAACCCTTTGCAGGTGTTATGGCTTAATTAGCTGATTAGAGTGGGATACTTTGAGCCGAGAAAATTGCACCTTTTCACAATATTCTAATTTTCTGAGATTGTGGATTTGGGGTTTTATGAGCTGTAAGCCATAATCATCACAATTATGACAAATCACGGCTTGAACTATCTTGCATTGCATGTAATGAGTCTATCTCATATATTAGTTTCACCTTTTAAGTTGCATTACTGAAATAAATGAACTTTTGCACGATATTCTAATTTTTCGAGTTTCACCTGTATAGTAGATTGAAATTATATTAATTTCAGTGGTGTTACAAATATTTTCCAGCACACAAGTTATACATTTTTTAAAAAACAATTGTGTATACCGGGGGATGTTTAATTGAAATTGGACTGCACAGCACTTTGTAAGTTTTTAGTATTGGTTTGGAGTGGGAACACTCGGTATTTTAGCACCTCAAGAAATGTGATGGGCAGTCAGAAAGGAAAGTTGTGTAAATTCCATGATCTATACCATAGTTTGTAGACGCTATAACTTTCACACAAAGCAATAAATATACACTTATTGGGGTTTTTTCTAACCGCAAACATGTAGCAGAATACATTTTGGCCTAAATTTATGAGGAAATTGGAGTTTTTTGGATATTTTTTAAAATAACGCAGGGTTTTTTTAAATTGTTTATAGCACGAAAACTAAAAAAGCGCACAGGTGATCAAATACCACTGAAAGAACGCTCTATTTGTGTGAAAAAAGGACATACATTTCATTTATGTACCGTATTGCATGACCACTCAATTGTCAGTTAAACTATTGCAGCGCAAAAAATGGTGCAATTTGCAGTATCTATAGTTTGTAGACGCTATAACTGTCACACAAAGCAATCAATATACACTTATTGGGACTGTTTTTTACCAAAAACATGTAGCAGAATGGCCTAAATTTATGATTGAGTTTACTATATATTTTTTTATAGCCAAAAGTAAAAAATATTGTTTTTCTTCAAAAAAAAAACTGGAAATAAAGCAGCACTCTTCAAAGTAATATATCTCTGGATAGTAATCTTACTGAGTGAACACAACTAATGAAATTAATATAACAAAATACATATAGCAGTACAATCAAATATAAATCAGTGCCAAATTTAAAAAAATCAGTGCAAAAAAAAAAAAAAAAAAGTATATATAAACCAGTGTCCAACTGAAAGTCCTTAGTGCAAAAAATACACAGTGTGAGAAGTATATATAAATTGAAGAGTATATATAAAATGTATATAAAAAATAAATAAAAAATAATAAATTATTAATACGTGATCCAATAAATCTTAAAAAACTCTCATATAATGTGGCAATAAAAAACATGAGTAATCCTTCAAAAAAAAATCCACCACCAAATGAACTGCATTCACCCACCAAAGCTCCATGCTGTTAAGATTATAAACCAGCTAAATATGCTTGTGCTCTGGGAGCAATAATCTGCAGCAGCACATATCAGCTGATGAGTAATCCTTCAACGAGTAATTGGCTCCTCATAGACTAAGTCTGGCCATACACTATACAAATTTTCTTACAAATTTCTGTCCAATTTCCTTTAGATTTACCTTCAACTATGTAGCGCAAGGGCCCGCCTAAGTGGACAGAATTAAAGTGTTGTTTAGGTTTGACCTCCTATTATATTGTTTTTGGTAAATCTAAAGCAAAAATCTCTAGAATATTGTATAATGTATGGCCAGCCTTAGAGAACTTTCACCTTCACATAGTACTTGCTTCTCATATAACCAGGATTGTACATGGAGAAAGAAGAAAAGGATTCCACATAGTGTAAAACCATAACAGGCTTTATTCAATGCAAACCATATTAAAACCACTCACATATATCTGTGTCACAGCCAACATAAGCATCACAGGCATTAAAAAAAAAAAAAAAAAATCACTTTGACAGGTACTGCTCGGTATAGGCAGATAGCAGCAGCTCACCAATACTGTTGGGGATGTCATGTCCGAAGCCCCGCCCTATGCATTTCGTCATCTGACGTCCTACAGGAGCAAACCTAGCTCTATTTGTGAAAAAAGGATGTAAATTTAGTTTGCGTACAGCATTGCATGACCGTGCAATTACCAGCTGAAATAGTGCAGCGCCGAATAGCGAAAAAAAAGTCCTGGTGAGGTGAGCTCTGATTGGACTCTCCCCGCCCGTGGCACCGCAATTACCTGGGGTGAGCTCCGGCTGGACTCTCCCCGCCCGTGGCGCCGCTATTACCTGGGGTGAGCTCCGGCTGGACTCTCCCCGCCCGTGGCGCCGCTATTACCTGGGGTGAGCTCCGGCTGGACTCTCCCCGCCCGTGGCGCCGCTATTACCTGGGGTGAGCTCCGGCTGGACTCTCCCCGCCCGTGGCGCCGCTATTACCTGGGGTGAGCTCCGGCTGGACTCTCCCCGCCCGTGGCGCCACTACTACCTGGGATGAGCTCCGGCTGGACTCTCCCCGCCTGTGGCGCCGCTACTACCAGGGGTGAGCTCCGCTGGACTCTCCCCGCCCGTGGCGCCGCTACTACCTGGGGTGAGCTCTGATTGGACTCTCCCCACCGCTATTACCTGAGGTGCGCTCTGATTAGACACTCCCCACCCATGGCGCCGCTACTACCTGGGTGTGAGCTCTGATTGGACTCTCCCCACCGCTATTACCTGAGGTGCGCTCTGATTAGACACTCCCCACCCATAGCGCCGCTATTACCTGGGGTGAGCTCTGATTGGACTCTCCCCACCCATGGCACCGCTATTACCTGGGGTGAGCTCTGATTGGACTCTCCCCACCCATGGCACCGCTATTACCTGGGGTGAGCTCTGATTGGACTCTCCACCACACCCATGGCGCTGCCATTACTAACATGTTCTCCAAAGGTTCATGAGACATCCAACTACTGGGACACAAAAGACACCTACTTGTCTCTGTCAGCCCAATACCTCAAATGACTCCAGCTGTCTCCCGCTCAATGCATGCACTTCCGGACAGCCGCCATTTTCTTGAAGACCGCCGCACACCTGACAGAACACCGCTGTACACCACAGTGCAAAGCATGCCGGGACTGGTAGTGTGGAGGCAGCGCTGGTCATGTGACGGATGGGGGGCGGGGATACGTTTGTCACTCATGTAATTCAGGGCAAAGGCCGGCTGTGTCATTTGCAGAGGTGAGAGCGGAGAGATGAACCCGGACCTGAGCAGAGAGAGGGCCACTGCCTCCTTCAGCCCGGAGACCATCACTAATATCCTGGATGGGTGTCCGGAGAGGACCCGGAGGAGGAGGGAGATAGGTGAGTACAGTGTGCATGGAGGAGGAATACACCTGTGTTTACAGGGGGAGGGGACCTCATACAAAGGTGTAATATTGTACACAGTCTGCATGGAGGAGGAATACACCTGTGTGTACAGGGGGAGGGGATCTCATCATACACAGGTGTAATACTGTACACAGGCTGCATGGAGGAAGAATACACTTGTGTGTACAGGAAGAGGGGGAGGGAACCTCATACACAGGTGTAATATTGTACACAGTCTGCATGGAGGAGGAATACACCTGTGTGTGTACAGGGGGAGGGGATCTCATATGCAGGTGGAATACTGTACACAGGCTGCATGGAGGAGGAATACACCTGTGGAGGAAGGAATATACACCTGTAGTGTATAGGGGGAGGGGATCTCATATGCAGGTGTAATACTGTACACAGGCTGCATGGAGGAGAAATACACCTGTGTGTACAGGGGGAGGGGACCTCATACACAGGGCTATGTATGTACAGTGGATATAAAAAGTCTACACACCCCTGTGAAAATGTCAGGTTTCTGCGATGATAAATAATTTCAGAACTTTTTCCACCTTTATTGTGACCTATAAACTGTACAACTCGGTTGAAAAACAAACTGAAATCTTTTAGCGGGGGAAGTAAACATAAACAACTAAAATAATGTCAGAATTAAGCAATCACATTCAAAATCATGTTAAATAGGAGTCAGTACACACCTGCCATCATTTTAAAGTGCCTCTGATTAACCCCAAATAAATTTCAGCTGTTCTAGCAGGTCTTTTCTGACATTTTCTTAGTCGCATCCTACAGCAAAAGCCATGGTCCGCAGAGAGCTTCCAAAGCATCAGAGGGATCTCATTGTTAAAAGGTATCAGTCAGGAGAAGGGTACAAAAGAATTTCCAAGGCATTAGATATACCATGGAATACAGTCATCATCAAGTGGAGAAAATATGGCGGAACATTGACATTACCAAGAACTGGACGTCCCTCCAAAATTGATGAAAAGACGAGGAGAAAACTGGTCTCGGAGGTTGCCAAAAGGCCTACAGCAACATTAAAGGAGCTGCAGGAATATCTGGCAAGTACTGGCTGTGTGGTACATGTGACAACAATCTTCCGTATTCTTCATATGTCTGGGCTATGGGGTAGAGTGGCAAGATGGAAGCCTTTTTTTATGTAGAAAAACATCCAAGCCCGGCTAAATTTAGCAAAAACACATCTGAAGTCTCCCAAAAGCATGTGGGAAAATGTGTTATGGTCTGATGAAACCAAGGTTGAACTTTTTGACCATAATTCCAAAAGATATGTTTGTTGCAAAAACAACACTGCACATCACCAAAAGAACACCATACCCACAGTGAAGCATGGTGGTGGCAGCATCATGCTTTGGGACTGGTTTTCTTCAGCTGGAACTGGGGCCTTAGTCAATGTAGAGGGAATTATGAACGGTTCCAAACACCAGTCAATATTGGCACAAAACCTTCAGGCTTCTGCTAGAAAGCTGAACATGAAGAGGAACTCCTCTTTCAGCATGACAATGACCCAAAGCATATATCCAAAAAACAAAGGAATGGCTTCACCAGAAGAAGATGAAAGTTCTGGAATGGCCCTTCCAGAGCCCAGACCTGAATCCAAATGAAAATCTGTGGGGTGATCTGAAGAGGGCTGTGCACAGGAGATGCCCTCGCAATCTGACAGATTTGGAGTGTTTTTGCAAGGAAGAGTGGGCAAATATTGCCAAGACAAGATGTACCATGCTGCTAGACTCATACCCAAAAAGACTGAGTGCTGGAATAAAAATAAAAAGGTGCTTCAACACTGTGTTAACTCTTGTGGAGCTGTCTTCATACCCCAGTGTGTTTAATGACTCAGAATTTAGACCATAGGTGCCGGTTACTTGCATTACACCACTTTGAGCAACTTCAAATGAGGTGGGAACAAAGTTTCAGAGGTTTACTTGGAAAAGTGCAAAATGAACATCTCCGTCCAAGTCCAACCTGCAAAAGCAGAATTATTCCTACATCCCGACTCCTAACTCAGGCTATGTGCTGCCCCAGTATGCCTGCAAAATGTAGAGCTCATGTAAAGACAGGAGTCCATCAGTGACATTTCCAGTAGCTGGTATCTTCAGGGGAGGACCCCAGGTGCAGAGGACCTTCTACATTACAGCAGTAATATACTTTTAAAAGTAGCAGTGACATCATCACTTTGCAATACATAGCTTGTGCTGAGAGCAGAGCTGTGGCATGGACCCAGTAAGCTCAACCCTCTACAGGCTGCCTGCAGAAAACTACAGGAGGGGGTGGAGACAAGACCAGTCACCTTGCTCAAGGAGAGAGAGCTGCAGTGACTGGTCCTACTACCCCACCCCATCCCTTTTTTTTTTTTTTTTTTTTTTATAGGAAATGTCTGCACAGAGGTAAAGTTTCATACTGGATTACTGCACAGATCTGTAAGAAATACACAAAGCACACCAATATTCAAGGAAGAAAACACATGATTCCTGTATTTAGACATTTGCTTATTCCAGAGTTCAGCTTTACATCTGAAGTACACCTTGTCACATGAGGATGTAAGACTTTGCTCCCAGACACGTTAATACATGACTTCATTTAGTAACTTGTACTGAAAGGCATACAGAACTCTGTGAACGAATGAGGTGGATGTGTGGGCGGAGCCCCACACAGCCATGCTGTTTTAAAAAATTGACAGGTAGTATATGGAACGTCTCCCTGTACTGCTATCACAGGGAGGGGTGGAGGATCAGGCAGCAGTGGGAACGTGTTACATGCTCCACTCATTTTCAGGGTGAACCTAACCTTTAAGGCATCCTATTCATTTGAATGAGCTGCATCCGAGCGCTCCACAAAAGTTGCATGTTTCGATTCTGCACATCTGTCAGTATGGTGGGATTCAGAACCCAGCCTTGAAGCCCAACTGAACTTTTGTTTCAAATTGGCTAAATATATTTCAGGCTGTGGCTACTTTGTAAAGAAAATAAACTGCGAGGGTTAGTTCACAACAGTCCCAGCACATATTACTTCAGTTCACACGAATACTGGAGAGTGCGAATCTGGTGCAGCTGTGCATGGCAGCCAAGCAGCTTCTAACGTCAGCTTGTTCAATGTAAGCATTGACAATAAAACCTGGAAGCTGATTGGCTACGATGCACAGCTGCACCAGATTTGCACTCTCCAGTTTTAGCCCCTTCGCATTGGTGTGAACGGCACAAAGGTAGCACTATAATGCATTGCTAAATGCATGGAGGCGAATCACATAGAATTAAATAGAACTTTAACAGTGCACCACAGCACGTGAGAGTGTGAGTGCCCACTGGTGTCCGTGACCCCCACGACTTTGCACACCTTTTTATTTATGCATCTGGAGTGTATTTAGATGATTTAAAGTGATAATAAATGCCAATGAAAAAAAAAATGTATTCTCCAAATACGGGAAGGTTTCTTCACAGTAAGAGCTGTAAAAATGTGGAATAGACTCCCTCAAGAGTCTGGCCAGCTCAGTGGATTGCTTTCAAAAAGGCCTGGATTGTTTCCTAGTTACACAGAATATAACTGGATATAACATTTATAGGTAAAGTTGATCCAGGGAATATCCGATTGCCTCTCGGGAGATCAGGAAGGAATGTTTTCCCCTGCAAGAGCAAAATTGGATCATGCTTTGCTGGGTTTTTTGCCTTCCTTTGGATTAACTGTGTATAGGTTTATAACTTGTTTTTTTTTTTTTTTTGTTTTTTTTTTTATGGTTGAACTGAATGGACATTTTGTCTTTTTTGCAGCCAGACTAACACATACTTGCCTGCTCTGTGCAGTTCTCTTGCACAGACAGCCCCAATCTTCCTCTTCTCGTGTCCCCCGCCAGCACTCCTGACCCCTCCATCCAGCCAAGTGCCCCCACAGCAAGCAGCTTGATGTGGAGGCTCCCAAGCAGGCTCACCCCTGAGCCACTGCTCTGCATTTCCATTCACACACAGAGCTGTGCCTCGACCCTGGCTCAGGTAAATATTGGGGGGGGCTGCTGCACACAAAGAATGCATGATGGCAAAATACATTGAGCCTCTACAACCACTTTAAACTGAAAGTTCAATTGGGCTTTAAAGTGTATGTAAGCTATAACACTACATTTTTTTATTTGCTCCCTTTTATTCTGTTACATATACAGATGAAAAGGTTTTATTTTAACTGGTTGGTTGATCCTGCCAGATATCTTGAGCGCCGATAACTTCCCCTGCTTTCTGCCTCCGTAGACTGTTATCAGTTAGTATTGTTCCTAGCCACATTCCTTGACTCCCAACACTTCGGTGTTCTAAAGTCCTAGCGCACTTCCTTCTTAGAGTGACAACCTTTCTCCTCCGAGATGCAGTAGGGTTGTCACCCTAGGACAGGAAGTGTGTTCCTGGAAGAATCACCAGGTGAAAACCACCAAGAAATAAGTGTGAACACACAAAACTATTGCAGCCACCCCATCCATGAACCAGTAGAATGCAAACTATCATATTTTGCTCTTGGGTTTAGATACTTTTTAAATTTGAATATTTCTTTAGGTAGCCTGCCCATAGTGTGTGTGGAGTTCATTTATGTATTCTTCTTGCTTCTTTTAGAGAGTCTTGTGATCAACGACCCAAGCTTCCAGAATGAGGACCCTAATTTCTTGTCCCGCAGTGAGCGATATGAGCTGGCCATCAAGAAGAGTTCTCAGATGGTTAAGAAGATGAGAGACCATGGCATATCCGACCCTGAGGAGATCTATTGGTTCAAGAGGTGGGCTCTCCACATACTTTCTCTTTCCTGAATATTTATATGGAGATGGTAGGCTAACTCTATTCTCACTGCAGATGAGCGAGATTTTTACTAAAAACACACAGAGAGGTCTGTGCCAGATTTTATATTTCACAGTGCTACTTAAAGAACAATAGCAGGTATGGCATTTTTTACATAGTTCTATGGGAGCAGATTGGACCAATGTAACAATGCATATGCCATACTTGTGGGATCGCTCACGGCTATTGCACACTGCTACTTCAGTGATCTCTACTAGCTTCTGTGCCCTCTGCTGACTAGCTGGTCTGCTGCAAAATGAACATGGGAGGCCAGCCGCTCAGCACAGGCTCTATTCAGAGATTGAGTTACATTTTTATTATACAGAATTTATATGGTGATACCAGTTTGTGCTCTGATTGGACGAGGTGGAGAGTTAGGGCGATGACAATATGGTTCTAAACGCTGCATGCACGCACTGTGTGCAAAGGGCTGCAGCTGTACTCTGTCATGGACCACTACTGTTACCATGTAACCACATGTCTGTTACATGTGAGTAGAGCCTCTGACTGACCCTGGGTGTAGCCGGTATGTGTCCAGGCTTGGCATTTCTGAGAAGTTGGCTGCTGCTGCTACTCAGCCAGTTTTTTTTATATGGTCAAAGCACAGAGCAAACTATCTGCACCGTGTGAATGTAGTCTAATGCATGGAAAAAAGAATCCGCTTTAATCTACTAATAGATGGAGAGAAATCCTATTGAGCTCTACAATGGAGGGGTCCTGGGTTAGAAAGATGCTGGACATATGCAGAATGATATATTTATGCCAAACTAAAATGAATGTCCGCAACCTTGTAGTGCCACCTGTTGGGGACCTTTTGTCACTATGGGTTCCATAAGTATCGCATTAAAACAGGCCTGTTTAACGATGAAACACTCTGGGTTCCTGTATTTAAAACAATTTTATTAACAATGATATGTTGGGGACCTTCGTCACTCTGGGTTCCATAAGTATCACATTAAAAAAATCCATGACATTGGGAGTGCCCTTCTTCATCAGACAGTGCTGTCATACAGGGACATGCTTAAGCATGCACATGAAAAACCTCACCTATCATACTTTCTTGATTTGTATAGAAACTTACAGGTTGCATTACTGTTGGGAAGGACACATGGATCTTTAAAGGTATATTCTGACGCCTTATTGGGGTAGATTTACTAAAACTGGAGCACTCAGAATGTGGTGCAGCTGTGCATAGTAACCAATCTGCTTCTAACTTCATCTTGTTCAATTAAGGTTTGACAAAAAAAAGTTGGAATCTGATTGGTTTCTATGCACAGCTACACCAGATTTTGCACTCTACAGATTTAGTAAATCAACCCCAGTATGCCCATTCTCCTCCGGGAGGGTTCAGTTTGTCTCTAGTTAGATGACAAGGTTACTTTAAATATGCAGACAAACCATGCCAACCAATCAGCAGTTCTTATTTGCTTCTCTGACTGTAATACTGAAAACTGCATGCTATGTGGGTCATCTTTGCCCTTTGTACTAAACTATGGAATTTAACTTCTAGTGCCAGAGTTAAGTGTTACACAAAAAATTCTACTTCTCAGTATATCTGGGTAGCATCCTTGAATAAATTGGTTAGTTTACAGAGGTGTATCACTTTTTTTTTTTTTTTTTTTTTTTTTTTTTTTTTTTACCCCCTTTAATTTTATTTTGTGCCCTGATGATCAGTGTACATGTCCCCTCTGCGGAAAGCCGATTACTGGCTGTCACGCTGACAGCTCGAGAGGAGAGAAATGCCAATAACCGCCATTCCCTGTTCACATGTGATCAGCTGTGATTGGACACAGCTGATCACATGACCGAGCCGACATCTTCGGCTCTTTCCGTGATTGGTGATCCGCTGTGTCCGAGGGACACAGCGCACCGCCGATCGCCGCGCTGCACGCTCCCTGAGCCACGCATGCGCAGTGAGAATGGGAGGATGTCATATTATGTCATTCCTCCCAGAACGAGAGAACCACCTTGCACCCGTCATATTACTATATGGCGGGCGGGAGGTGGCTAAAAATGTCTCTAAATCTTGTAATTCTTTGGTTGTTTAGCTTAAACTATATGTTGGGATCTCCCCAAAATGGCTCAATAACCCAATAAATAACCTCAAAAACCCCATGTCACTGCAGAGCAGATGTATGAAAATCCTCCAACATTTTCTGCATCCATGTTGCCATCAATTTATACTCGGTCCCTGTGGCTTACGCACCCCAACAACAGCAGTGATCCATCTCCATGCTTCACAGCAGGGATGGTGTGCATTGTTGACTTATCTCTATTCATAGCCTTAGAGCAGGGGTCTCCAAACTATGGTCCTCCAGCTGTTGAAGTACTACAAGTCCCATCATGCCTCTGGGAGTCTTGCCTGTGGCTGTCAGTTTTGCAAGGCCTGGACTTGCAGTTCCTCAACACCTGGAGGGCCATAGTTTGGAGACCCCTGCCTTAGAGCTTTGTGACCAAAGTTCTGTTTTGGTCTCCTCACTGATTTTTGTTCTAAAAATTTGGGGCTTCTCCAGGTGGAGTTTATTGTATTGTGTTTGGGCTGTTTTGTGCAGTAAAATGGCTAACATTTTTCAAATTCTGCAAGGTGTATTTAAACTTTTGAGCAGAACTCTATTATGTTTGGGGAACAAAAGCCATATATTGCGGCATACATACATATTGTTATCTGTATACATTTTTTTTAATCTAGTTAGAAGGTCGGCCATGGTTCATGTGAAGTGTGTAGAGTTTGGAGTTTGTGCACACTAACACCTTTCTTCACATCAAAATCTAATCTCTTGAGCAGATAGTCATATAAACTGACTTCAGGCTAAGGCCACATGCAGACGGCAATGCACTTTACTCCTTCTATGTGAGTAGGTTGGGAAGCTCTCCTTTTTATGTTGTTCTCAACCCCAAATGACTTATAAGATCTCACACAGTCTAGTAAAACTGGGTTTTTATTACTTTACTCAAATATATAATTTAAAGGACACTTTTCATACTGATGTAGTTTAAAATAAATTGATCTAGTTCAACCAATACAAAGGGGGGAAAAAAGACAACCTTTCCTGAGTGATGCATGACTTTTCTTTCTGCAGATTCCTGGTTATCACGCCAGCCCTCCAGCTTTATTAATCTGGCGCAGAACAAGTGTTCTAAATGGGACCTTTGAGCCAAGTTTCTCAAACTTGTCAGCTCAGCAAGACTCCAGAAGCCAGCACATAATCCAAGTCCCACTAATATGTAGCATTTCAGAATAAAAAAGTCTATTTTTTCACAGCAAATTGACTGCTTGCTGCCATATAAAGCTGAGTCCTTCACAATCTAAGCATTCATTTGATTGTTTGGATGAAAATTGGGCTATGCAGGGCTTTCTTGGGGTAGGTGATAAGCTTGTTGAAAAACTTTCTATAAAGAAGCTGAACAGATGTCTCACAAACCATTGTTCTCAATGAGGCCACTATCAGCCTAAAAAATATAAGTCCTGGAGAAAATGGGAATGAAGTGCTGGTCACAGATCTTCAGTCAGTGGGGGGAAATTATTTGAGACTGATGGCTTGGATTCAGCAGTTCTTTCACAAAATGTGGGCCCTAAAAGGAAGGGGCACCTCAAATTGAGAAATTTATAAAAAAAACATCAAAAGCATCAAAACAATGGGGGGGGATTTACTAAAACTGGGGCATGCAAAATTCGGTGCAGCTCTGCATCGGCGTTGGACTCCCAAGGCCTTGTTTTGCACTTTCATTCTGTAGTGTGTGTGGCCTTTTAAATTTGTGTGGACAAACAATGCTTTACCCAGATATTACACACTACATGTGCATTTGTTATTTAATTTATAATACGCATTGTGTGTTGCAGAGCCTGTGGTGTCCTGCCATGAACACTTTGACTTCATGCACACTGGGCAAAAAAAAAGCAAATGCCGATTTTACAGGCTAAAAAAAATATGCCAGCCTATGTGGCCATGCACACATAGGCATTTACTGGCGTATTAAAAGAGGAGTGTTTTGGACAGGTAGGCTCTTGGTTTGGCTTGCCTGAGAACAAACCCCTGCTATGAGTGTGCCCCTTATAATTGCTGCTTCTGGGGAGGTCCTTGCGGAATTTGTGACAATTACAGACTGTTTTTCTTCCTCTGATAAGGGATTGTACACCTCAAGGGTGACTTACACTCCTGACAAACTCTACTCCTATCTCTTGAACGTTGACTTCCCTGTACTGACTTCTGCGTATAGAGACTGTTTGGATTCTCCCATCAATTTGAAAGAAGTGCAGCTATTTCCTCTCTGCAATCCGGAAAGACCCCAGGACCAGATGGTCCTGTAGAATTTTATAAGACCGATGTAGTGGACTTGGCTCCCGATTACATACTATACTAGTGCACTCATTGAGTCTCACTCTTCTGAAGCGGTGATAGTGGTAGTCCCCAAACTTGGTACAAATCTGGATTTGTGTTCTTCATATCACCCCATCTCGCTGCTGAATGTTGATGCTAAGCTGCTTACAAAAATCCTGGCCCGCCATTTGAATTTAGTAATCACAGCTGTGGTACATCCAGGTCAATCAGGGTTTATGCCTGGTAGGGGTGCTAGCATTAATATTAGATTCTTGTTTACACATTTAGATCTCGCAACCGAGGATACTCCGGGTTTGGTTGCTTCTCTTGATGCTGAGAAAGTGTTTGATTCGTTGAATGGGGGTATTTGTGGAGGGAGTTGGAATCTTTTCGCTTTGGCCTTAATTTCATGGCTGAAGCTGTTGTATCATAGCCTGGTAGCTAGAGTGCAAGTTAATGGAGTGCTCTCTGCTTCTTTCCCTTGCATGGGGGGGGCACCACCTTTTCCCCCTCACATCCCCCTTTTGGGGTAATCCTCAGTTGTAACATTTTTTTCACATATCAGATCCCTAGGTCTGGGTTGCCAAAGACATTGTCACCTTAAAACATATTAGAATTGATG